AATACTCACTTACTGATCTTTCTCCCTGGCACAGTTTGTGCACGTCTTCTTGCAGATCAGATACTCGAAAGATATCTGATTTTGAGAATCTGTCTCTCAAATCACACCACGCATTGTGAGCATTTTCGATCCACAGAATGGATTGCGCTATAGTTTGGGTGATCGATCTATGAATCCAACCCAAGACTATAGTGTTACATCGATCCCACGCTTCAAAGGCTGGATCATCGTCATTTGGAGCTACCACCACTCCATTGATAAAACCGAGTTTATTCTTTGATCTCAATGCCATAGTCATCGCTCGAGACCAAGAATGATAATTGTTTCCGTCTAGCAAAGGAACCACCAATACTTGCGATGGATTTTCATTTGGATGAAGAAAGAAAGGATGCGCAGGATTAGTTAAAAACTCAGGAAGAACAGCTTGATTCGCCATGTTCAAGAACTCAAGAATCTGAAGCAGATATCAGAGCATGTGCTCTGATACCATCTAGAGAATGGAAGAAACGAAAAAGAAGAGGAAGAATGCAGAGAAAATTATACTTCTCATTGAATCGAATGCCTGATATTACATGCAATATTGATATATATACATCTAGCTAAAACTGAATTGTGTAACTAACTAACTTAAATTAGTTACAATCTGTTATTTCTAACAAACTCAATAGCTTAATGATGAATCACTGAGTTATTGCTTCCAATTTGTTTCTGTCATGATTCGTGGGCCTGATATATGAAGTGGATGAAACGTTGGACTTGGGCTCATGTGGTTTGGGCTTGTGAGCTGATTTATCGGGTGAGATAACTTACAGTAATGACGAACAGATAAAAAGCCCAATTTATGTACATGACCTGAAATTGTACTTGTCTGACAACATATATGGTTAGAGTTCAACTTATGTAAAAGCCTTTAATGTGCTGAACTGAAGTTTAATGGGATCATGATCAAGCTAACTCCATTATTATTTATCCCAATAATGTCGTTTGATGGATAAATGCCAGTGAAGAAAATGATCCCTCTGTTCCATCTGCCTCCTGCCAGTTTTTGGAGATTGTTTATTTTGTAAGACTCCTCATATGCTAAGGACGCTTATAAGTTGTCACATTGATTAGGCTTTTCACCGGTGAAATTATCTTCTTTTTCTTTTTCTTTTTCTTTTTTTTAAGTTTGCCCAAAAAAAATTTTGGACGCTCAAACTGAGAAACATAATCCAAACTTCTGATTAAAAATATGACACAAATTACAGCCACATTTGTTTAATATGTCACCGCCCCATAAGATATTACTTTCTTTTCTTCAGAAGCTTGTCTGGGCTCTTCAAAAGCCTCCATTTTTCTTTTATTTAAATGAAATTTGCAGTTGAATGCCAGGAATAAATCTGCAGCTGCAGAATGCTATACAAGAACAGAGGTTTGTCTGGAAGGTAGTGCTTGATGTACCTGCACCTGCCAATAAAAACTTTCACAAGCTCGGCATGTTTGCTTTTTGTTTATTTGTGCATGAATTATCCTATATATTTAGTTCCTTGTACTTGCACTATCTCATATTTTCAGCTATTGCATTTCCTCTGTTATAAAATATATCCATCGTAATAGAAAAAATTTACAGAACTAATGGATGCCATTCGTGAGAATGTCTCTGTGTTAACACTGCTTGCTGAGGTCTTGTGCTTGTTGGATATGATTGTGAATTCATTTGCTCATATGATATCCACTAAGCCTGTTGATCAATATACAAGACCATCATTTACAGGTAAGAAAGTTGGTAATTTATGTCACATTTTTGTACTTCGATTTAGAAAATTCTTATTTGTGACTTCATTTTATTTACTAGAGAATGGGCCAATGGCAATTGATTCTGGTAGACACCCAATCCTGGAAAGCATACACAATGACTTCGTTGTACGTAATGAGTATATCCAATATCATTATAACTAACCCCCCCCCCCCCCCCCCCCCCCCCACACACAAACACGGCAGACACTTTTCATGTAGGAGGATTTCTGCACTATTTTTATTTTTATTATTATTTTTGAGTAAATTAATCTTTTGCATTGCAGGCTAATAATATATTTCTGTCTGAAGCGTCAAATATGGTGATTGTCACGGGCCCCAATATGTAAGAAAATTTCTGTTTCACATTTAAGGTGTACTGTTCTAAACAGAATAGGAAAATTCCAGATATGTTAAACTAGCCTAGAAAATGGCTATTCATGAATCATGACTGAATGCTTTTGATAAGAATAAGGAAACATGTTTGGGCTTATTAGTGATGTGTCAATCTCACAATAACGAGCAAACGAAGCACGAAGGATACAAAATTATTTTACTTAGAAATGCCTCAGATATGAGGTTGTAACTTTGAAAATTCCGATGAACTAAAAAAGTTGAAACTAGGTTATGTGACAAAAACATGTCTGGTGCATTTTCCTTCAAACTATGCCTTAAATGCCTGGCTTCAGTCATTAAAATTATGTGCGTTTCTTGCATACAGTTTAATGGTGAATTATTCGTGAACTAGAGCAAAGTTTAATGGCTCCAGTCATTAAAATTATGTTTGGTTGGCTATCTGTTTGCATGAAGAATATGAAGTTTGGAGATTTATTTTCTATATTCCTTTCCCCCAGGAGTGGAAAGAGCACTTACCTTCAACAAGTCTGTCTTATAGTTATTCTTGCTCAAGTTGGGTGTTATGTTCCTGCCCGCTTCTCAACTCTGAGGGTAGTTGATCGTGTATTTACAAGGATGGGTGCAGTTGATAATCTTGAATCAAACTCTAGCACGGTACAATTTCTAGACACTTGCGTTGAGGCTATTTAATCCCAATCATGTGGTTTAGAAATGTATATGAAGTTATCTGGATGTGTAGTTCATGACAGAGATGAAAGAGACAGCTTTTATCATGCAGAATGTCTCACAAAGGTAATGCGCCTTCTGATCCTCTTCACTCTAGGTACACATGACAGCTTTTATCCAAATATTCTGCTGGATGCAGGAGTCTGATTGTTATGGATGAACTTGGGAGGGCTACTTCTTCTTCTGATGGATTTGCAATTGCATGGAGTTGCTGCGAGCATCTTTTGTCACTTAAAGCGTAATTGTTTCTTGATTTCCAATTATCAGCAAGCATTTGTAGCAACTTTAGTAGCATGGATTTCTGATAACTACTAAAATGAAGGTCTTAGCCGCTTCTCAAATTCCTATTAATTCAATGGAAAATAATATTGGGAGAAAAAAAAAGAGCAATGACGGAAACACTTAAAGTATTTTTTATTTATTTATAATCTTTTGGGTAAAGTTTTAGAGAAAATATTTCCTTTAATGTGATTTGGTGTTTAATTGTTTATTGTAATACAACTGGTATAGAGTTTTCATCAACCATCAAAGAAACATATTTTTGTACATTGATCTTTCTCTCTCCTGAGCTATATTTTTTATCCTCCTTCAGGTATACCATATTTGCCACTCATATGGAAAACATGTCAGAATTAGCAACAATCTATCCCAACGTGAAAATTCTGCACTTTGATGTCGACTTAAAAAACAACCATTTAGACTTCAAGGTGGTATCTTTACGTATTTTATCTTGTGTTGAGATGATGATTATCTGCGAACTGAAATTCTGTTTTACTTAGTTTCAACTTAAGGAAGGACCAAAGCATGTTCCCCATTATGGCCTTCTCTTAGCAGAAGTGGCAGGATTACCAAATTCGGTTATTGAGAATGCCAGAATGATTACATCTAGGATTACAGAAAAGGTGATTATATACACACAACTTGTCGAAAATGGAATGTTAATTTAAATTTTGTACATTTTTAGTCCTCAAATTTTCTTGATTGTTGACAAAAAGGGTACTCTAGGTGGAAATTTCAAATATTACTCCCTTTGTTTGACATTCCGATTTCGTAAATAGCGCGTTCACTTCTACTAGTTCATACGAACTATTGGGTGAACCGGGAAATTGGCTCTATGAATTTTATTAGGCTGTCGACAATATGATTGTGCCATCTAGGCATATATTTCTAAATTGCCCGAAATTGCAAAATATCATCACTTTTTTCACATTGAGTTTGTAAAGAAAAGGACTTTGTCATCTAGGCATATATTTCTTAATTGCCCGAAAAGCAAGTATAAAACGCAAACCAGTTCTAACATATGATATGGACTTCTTGTCATTAGGAAATGAAAAGGATGGAAGTTAACTGCTTGCAGTATAACTCAATACAAAGGGCTTATCATGTTGCACAACGCTTGGTTTGCCTGAAATATTCCAATCAAGATGAGGTTACGATTAGGCAAGCATTGCAGAATCTCAAGGAATGCTGTATCAAGCAAAAGCTTTGAAGTTTGCATCACGAAGAATCATTTCTATAGGCTGAATAGTTCTTTCATTATTTCTTCTCATGCCATCTATCATTAGACGAAAAAACATGATGTAATGCATCAAAAAATTTAAGAAATGTTATAGTTCTTTTAAAAGAGATTAAATCTACAATTTGAATTGCATGTCAAAAATCCTATTAATAGGCTGAAGAGTTTTTCATTCTAAACGCTTATGCCATCTATCATTAGACAAAATAATATAGGAATGGAGAAAGTGTAATACACGAAAAATATAAATTTAAGAACTGTTATGTTCTTTTAACAAAAAAAATAAAAAAAAATAAATCAACCAAAGCGAGAGAAAGCCCAAATTAAATGTCAAAATGATTATTCATGGTTAAATATTCAATTAATTATGATTACGAAAACATTTGATAAAAAAAAAATAGAAAACTAGTGATAATGATGTGAATCCGTGATGTGTAAGTATTATCAAACTGATCTAAGTCAAAGGGCCTACAAATCCTTCGACTTCTATCAAACTGCATAATGCCATTACAAAGACCAAGAATTGCTAGGCCTAACTCTACCCACCTCCGTGGTGGGTATAACTAATATCGGTTATAAACTTCGAAGTGAACAATCAAAACTCGACAATTTATAGAAAAAGATATGATTCGGGCGTTCAAAACTCGGATTTCAAATAAAAAACAACAAATGTTATGTCCTCAAAATAGTATTCAGAAAATGAAACAAAAATAAATAACTGCAGAAAAATCAACGGTAGCGGCGAAGGGACAAAGTGTTGTTTCTCTTCCAGGTTGCCCTGCGGGATGGACGTGCTTTGTGGTACAGATGTCCTCTGCCACGTAAGCCCCTGTTACTTTTCCCAGCAGAGGTGAGCCCACGGAGCTCCCTGTGTTTGTGCACTGGATTGCAGAGCCAATTGATTCTTGGATCATTTCTAATGGCAGTGTGAGCAACATCCACCAGAATTATCTCAAAATACTTATAAGTCGAGTCCTGAAACACAATAGTAGGGGTCGGACAGCGAACGCGAAATTCACAACCACATTACAATTTCTACAAAGTAATATAATAACAAACCTCGTTCACCCAGTAAGAATTGAGGACCCTAAGGCCACCAAGCTTCCGTCCAGCTCGCTCCTCAGCAACTGACCTCTTGCTACGCTGAAATTTCAGTTGAGTTACACCCTGATTTGTGGGCTTCCCATAAACAATACCTTTGGGAACTGGTCTCTTTCTGCCCCCCCTCCGTACACGAACTCGGTAAACCACATAGCCCTACAATGTGATAATCACAATCAACACCAGATCAAAACAAATGAGGCAATTGTGCAATAGCTCTTTATAAGTACAGACATAATTGGGGCAATTGTCTAACTCCACAAGTCCATGAGAAATCATGTAACATGCTTTACCAAGACAAAAAAAATTCATTGAAAACCCATGTAAATGAAAATCTAAAGACTTAAAATGGAAATGGTGAACAAATAAGTCCAATCAAGACAAAAGCAAAATTCACAAGAAAGACAATTCGCTGGGTCAGTATGATCAACTATTTATTATTGCCGGCCTCAAGAAGCATCCAATCATTGTACATAAGCAATTCCCAAAGACTAACTGCATATACATTACAATGCCACTTAAAAATGCAGAAAAATAAGCTCAGCCAATCATTCATTCTTAACAAGGATTCATCATAATTCTGATGGCATGCCAAAGCAGATGTCACTTCTTCATAAATTACTAAACTACTAAAGAAATCAGACCATATTCTCATTGCTTGGCAATTGGAACGAAAATGAGAGAAAGTTAAAAAACCAAATATACGGTACAATCCGTGGAGAATACAGTAGATGAACTAAAAAAACACATGAAAATTTTGTTACCTGCTTGGCTTTATAGCCCAAGCGACGAGCCTTATCAGGTCGAGTCGGCCTTGTCAGACGAACAATTGAAGGTTGCTGCCTATACTCCCAGCACCTCACCCGCTGCAAGAATCTCATGACATCAGACTGCTTCTTGCGCCAAAGCTCTGAAACATACTTATAGGCACCTATTTCCGATGAAACCAACAACAAAAAAATTATCAATCACACTTCAAATTTCCTAAAGCTGTATAGCAAATTGTCCAGCCTAATTATCAAACATTGGTCTTTCAATAACATTTAATGTAAAATAAGTGACAAAATGACTAAAGAAAGACATGAATGCTACATATTTTATTAATCATTTGATTTTTAGAGACTAGGGGGGTTTGAACTACATCTGACGAAAAACAACAGAAAACTGTACATGATTTAAATCTGGCAAGTGCAAGTGGGATCAAACGATAATATTACAATAGCAAAATCAAATATGAAACAGAAAGCACATTATTCATCGAAAACCTCACTGTCATTCCAAAGACCAATTTTCCATCGTTTACAATTCCTCAGATATGAATACCAAATTAAAAATCTAACAAGATGGAAGTGAATAGGTTCTCAAATCCTGAAATTCTAACTAAAGAAGCAGAAAATGTATATACATAGTAAATACCAATAATGTTTTCAATTAGCAAAGTCATGGAAGAGATAGCAAAAGAAAAAACATATATAGATTAGAAACAAAGCCAATTTGTAAAACAAAAAAAAAAATGTCAAACAGAAATGTAACAATCATGGATCAAGATAGAAGTGTCCATTTCTGAACCAAAGTCTTAATTACGGCCTATGGTACAAGGGGAAAAAAGACTCGAATAATTGACACAATAACAAAACCCCGTGCTCGTTCAGGTTAGCAAAGAGAGAATGTTATTTATCTTGTTATGGCTTTAGCACTAAAACACAGAACCTTATTAAGGAAGCTCTAGCAAAACAATGGAATAGAAGTTAACTAATCCAATTCCTTTGGCCATAAACGAAAATAAATTTCAGCTGAGCCAACGTTCTTCTATATCCGTTGGACCTCATATCATGAAAATATCAGCTAGCATACAAATTACATAAGAAAAATAAAATCTACGAACGAAGAAGTAAGAAACTAAAGAATCATTCGCATTCAAGCACCAGATCAAATCAAACAATAACAAATTTAAAAACGAATAGCAAAAGAGATAGAAACAGTACCCATCGCGCAGTCACCTCAGGTGAAGGGTTCTACCTCACCTACACACCAACTGAGAGCTAGGGTTTTTGGGCGAGTCGTAACGCTTTATAACCCTAGCGTTGATGGGCCCTGCGGTTAATTTGCACGTTGGTCAGGATTGGGCTTTTCTTCTTGATGTTTTGGGCCGGGCATTTCGTGCTGGTTTTATGTAATAATAACTTGATCAAACTTCAAAGCCATTTTTATTTTTATTTTTTACTGAAAATAAAGAAGGTTAATGCTTCTCCTTTTTTTTCATCTTGAAAAATATAAATATTGCTGCTCTACTTTATTTTAAGGTAATAAAATAAAAATATCTTTTTATTCTAAAATAAAAATATCATTTTATTCAAAAATAAAATTCAAATTAAAAATAATAAAGGACGTATAATCATTGTAATATACAAATACCAAAGTCTTTCTATTCAATATGACAATGTGTTTTTACCCACATAGATCGAAGTTGATCCATCAACAAAACTTTTATAAATTTTATCAAAATATCACTTTATTTTTATATATCTAATGATCTAAAAAATATGACTTTTATTTTTATAACAATATATTTTTTGGTGAATTTATAATATTTCAATATTCTCTTAAAACTTAAGTCAATCTTTCTGCAAAGACAGATTTGGCTATGAATACCAAAATCTCAAGTATATAACCATTGTCATGAATTCCACTCCTATACCATAGTACCATATCATACACATAAACTAAAAGAGCTCTATCATAAATTAACTAATGGAATAGATGCTCTGATATTAAAATTTAACATAACCTGATCATATATATTTTTTTTATTTATCTCTCTTTTTATTAATTATACTTGGACCTCGTCAATTTAATACATGTGAAAAAAAAGGGAAAAATCTTTTTACACCGGTGTAAGATTAATAAGACTTACACCGCATCTCAACCGTTGATGGATGAAAATCATCGGTTGATATTTGTAGTGTAATTAATTATTAATTAATTTATATGACTTCTTAAATTATAATCGTTGGATGCACAGAAATCAACGACTGAGATGCAGTGTAAGACTGCATCTCAACCGTTGATGGACGAAAATCATCGGTTGGTATTTATAGTGTAATTAATTATTAATTATTTTATATGACTTCCTAAATTATAATCATTGGATGCACAGAAATCAACGACTGAGATACGATATAAGACTTATTAGTCTTACACCGATATAAAATCATCCTCATCCAAAAAAAGATAGACATAAAAATTTCAGATAAATTTTAATATGAGAACGAGAAGATGCACTTCAATATAGCTTACCAAAAAAAAAAAAAGATGCACTTCAATATTATACAAGAGGCTGCTGCTCACACTCATCAGGTACGCAACTCTCATTCAAATACGTTATGCCGTATCTAATTGAACATTAGAATGCCTTTACATGTACACTATTCATGCTCCACCGAAGCAGTTACTACACTGGAATGATTTCAGCATTAGAGCTAGGTCCAAGTTTCAAACTCGAATCCCACTTAAAGAACGGTATCATAGAACAAACTGGAATATAAGATTTGAAAAGTAACAACACACTTTTTGACACCTTACTATTATTATTTGGAAATGATCAACTTACATAAATGTAAAAATAATAAGTTTTACATTAAATTTTAATCGTTACTTTTTGTATATCTAACGATTAAGATTTATTGGATCATATTAATTAAATAAATAAGGAGAAAGATATTGTGACAATCAAGTTGTGTTACTACCAAGTGACTACCAATGAATCTCACCGTTAGATCGATTATGTTGATCCAACGGTTATATTTATTTTCATCTTTGTATGGTCATGATTCCCTAAATTTAATACTTTATATTTATTTTCACCTTTGTATGGTCATGATTTCCTATATTTAATGCTTTCACTTTAAATATGGGAAATCATGACCATACAAAGATGGAAATAAATATAACCGTTGGATCAACATAATCGATCTAACGGTGAAATTGATTGATAGTCACTTGGTAGTAACACAACTTGGTTGTCACAATATCCTTCCCCTTATTTTTATATCAGTTTAAGAATAATCTACCCCATTTTTTTTATCATTGTTAAAATCTACCATTGACCCCTAATCTGAAGCCACTCTTTATTGGTCGGGCATTTCACCCAATGACAGAGAGCTTTGAAATTTGAAAAGAGAGAATTAGAAAAATGTTGGTAACATTTTTCAAGTTTTGAATTAGTTAGACAAGAAATAGAACTACAAAAGACATAAACCCGGCTGGTGCTTGAATGGTTACAAAATAGAGAAACATAAGTAGGTTTTAAAACTATATTGCACCGACACGGGATATAGAATATGATATGACACGATATTTTGACACGTTAATTTTAAAAATTATTAAATTTTAATATGTTAGGACACGTTTTGATATTAAATAATATTTTTAATTTATGTAGTATATATTATATTTAATATTCAATAATTTAATAAAAAAAAATAAAGTTAAACTTATAATATCTATTAATTTTGTAAAGAAAATAAGATATCACATTTGATCCCTTGCTATGTGTATGGAAAAGACTTTGCTGAGAGAAGTTTACCCACTTAATATGATATCCCGCCTCGAAAGAATAGTCTTCGGCTGTCGGCTGGAGGATACCTTGAAAAAAAAAACATAAGATATCACAAATATTTATATTAAGCTCAATAAAATGGTAATCGTAATCCAACGAATCTAATAGTTGAAACTAAATACACAATGCAACGCAACCTTTGAACCCTTTTGTTAATCTGTGCAACGTGTGTTGGAGTGTCGAGAAGTGTCAGACACGACACGTCAAATTTTTTCATTTTTGAAATGTCTGTGCATCATAGTTTGCAAATAGCAGACAAGAAATTTTATGAGGGAAGATAAAATTAATTATTACTTTTAAATAAAAATACTAAATAGGGCTCGCAATTGGATGATCATTAATTATATGATCGAAAAATAAAAAATAATATTCAAATTTAAAGGTTTGTATAAATTTAAAAGCTACGGTCAACCTCCCCAACTCCTCATTTGCTACATTACACCAGTTGACAATACAACAATCAACAAGTTGTTGCTTTCAGCCATGTAACTATGTGACCAATGACCATTTTTGTTACCATACTCAAACTCAAATGACGCACACGTGGATGAAGTGAAGAAACACGTGGATAAATAGATCCAACTAATTTCTGTTTGAAATGAGTTGGCATCAGTTTCTCTTCTGTTAGTATTCTGTTAGTTAATTATTGTTAGTGGTAGTTACTGTTACTGTAAGTTAATTTTCCGCGCTTATTTCATGAGCTTATCACCTGATGTATATAAGGTGAAAGCCTTCTCTTGTAAGCACTAGATTTGCATAATGAAAGTTTCAAAGAATTCCAAGATGGTATCAGAGCTTTAAGGGCTCTGAACCATTCATCACTTCCGCAAGCGTTCTCTCTGATCGAACTCGATAATCTGCAGAATCATGGCAGATCAAAACCATTTCTCAGATCCTTATTACCTTCACCCGAATGAATCACCTTCTTTGATTCTTGTTTCTCCGCTGATGAACGGAAAGAACTACAATTCATGGTCACGTGCCATGAAGGTAGCTTTAACATCGAAAAACAAACTAGTTTTTGTTAATGGCAACATCACAACTCCTGAAGAAGATGATCTATTGTTTGTAGCATGGGAGAGATGCAACACAATGGTACTTTCTTCGCTCCACCATTCTCTTGATGATTCCATTGTTCAATTGATTCTTTGGATCGATAAAGCATACGAAGTGTGGAATGACTTACAAGATCACTTCTCCCAATCTGATATGTTAAGGATATCAGATCTACAAGAAGATTTTCATCAGATTAATCAGGGTGACAAAATCGGTTTCTGATTATTTCACAAGCTTGAAAACGATCTCAGATGAGCTGAATAATATAAGACCACTTCCTCCTTGTACCTGTGGAAATCTAGCTCGCATGCGTGAGTATAGAGACACAGATCAAGTAATCAAGTTTTTGAGAGGTCTCAATGAGCAATTTGCTCATCTCCGATCACAAATAATGCTCATGTCTCCTCTCCCTAACATCAACATAGCCTTTTCTTTGGTTTTACAGCAAGAAAGGCAACTTCAATCAGATACACATGGTGGAGGTGCAAGGTAGATGAATTTTTTTGCAAATTCCTCTGATAGCTATCGTGGCCGTGGTTATTCATATAATAGAGGAAGATGAAGGTCTAATACTGGATGTGGACAAGTCACAGGGAATAAATTTTGCACTCATTGCAAAAAGACTAATCACTCGATTGATACATGTTACTTCAAACATGGATCCCTCAAGGCTATCGTTCAAGGAATTACCAGAATTCAATCAATGTTGTGATTTCTGAAGAAATTAATAACACTACTGCAAAGTGTGAGAATGATGTGAGTCAACAGATTTCAGTTCCAAGGAACAAATATGAAGAATTCTGCAATTTCATGCAACAATCTGAACCCGAACATGCCATAAACATGGCACAAACAGCAATGAATGATCATATTTCTCCAAACACAAGTATGAATCCAATTATATGAATTTTAGATACTAGAGCTACAGATCATATTGCTAGTCTTTGATGCATATTTTCATCTCTTCACAAGATATCACCTAAATCCATAAAACTACCAAATGGTGATTCTGTTTCTGCTTCGTATTCTGGAAATGTCAGCATTTCTTCTTCTCTTACTTTAAAGAATGTATTATATGTTCCAAAATTCAAGGTTAATCTCATATCTGTTACAAGATTACTTCATAATGTTGACTGTTTCCTCACCTTTCATGGCTCAACATGTTTCATCAAGCAGAGCAGCACTTTGAAGACGTTTGGTACAGCTGAAAGGCATGGAGGATTGTTTGTAATGGCCACTGATTTGCTTCCTTTGAAATCAAGATTACAAACTTACAGTAATTCTGTTCAATGTAATAAAGATGATCCATCCATATGGCATCTTCGTTTAGGTCATGTCTCAGATAGTGTCTTGAAGCATGTTG